TCCTAATGGTGTGACTGGTGTGATTGGACCACACAAGTCCCCGTGAACTGACTCGAGTCTTCTTGTTGCTCTGATGTTGGCTTCTGTTGGCTGTGAGGTTCGTGTTTGTTTCCCGACTAAGCATCCTTCGCATGGACTCAAGGGGGCTCGAATACATGGCAGCCCACGAACCATGTTGGTCTCTGACATATGTCTAAGTGAAGTGAAGTTCACGTGCCCTAGATGGTTATGCCATAACCAACTTCTTTCGTTTTCTTCACTACCGAGTAACCATTTCCCTTCAACCTCATTCAAGGCTATCTTGTACAAACGGTTTGCTGATCTTGTGACCTTCATCAGCAGCCTCCCGGTTCTGTCATGGATCCACAAAAATGCTCCATGCATAAGTATCTTGTCACCCCCTTCAGCTAACTGTCCCAAGCTTATTATGTTGTTGCATAAGCTTGGGATATAATACACCTCCTGAAGCAGTCTTTGTTCACCATTTTTGCATAGAAATAGTATTGCTCCTTTGCCTTCTATTCGAACTTTGGAGCCATCCCCAAACCTAACATATCCTTTTATGGTCTTATCGATTTCACAAAAATTTTCTTCTTCTCCTGTCATATGATCGCTAGCTCCATTGTCTAAGTACCACACCTTAGATTTGCTTGTTTCATTCCCTTCTGATCTTAGCTTTGGCGTGACTTTTTCCTCATTAAGAAACACCTCCTGGAACACCTTTTCAGAGTTGTATGCAGACAACAACAAAGCTGGTTCATCATCATCTGGTACTTGTGTTAAGTTGGCCTCTTGATTCCTTTCACGATGTGGATTTTTGCATTGGTAAGCGTAGTGCCCAAAGTCTTGAAAGTTGTAACACTGTATCTTCTTTTTGTCACTATTGTTTGATGATCCGCGTCCTCCTTCTCCGTTGTGATGAGAACCACCACCACGTCGCCCACCACGACCAGCCCAGGTACCACTCCTCCCAAGACCTCTCCCTCGGCCACGGGAACTGCTATTGGGTTGGTTGTCTCGCTGGGATGACTTCTGATCTTCATCTCTTTTCTTCTTTGTTCTATCAGACCACTCCTGATGGGTCAAGAGAAGTTTTCCTTCTGTGTTTTCTGTATGCCCGTTGTGCCCTTTTACCCGTTCTTCATGAGCCTTCAATCTTCCAATTACTTCTTCAACAGACATTTTGTCTAAATCAGCGAATTGTTCAATAGTAGAAGCTATTTGAACAAAATTGGACAGTATAGCACGGAGTAACTTCTTTACCACATAATCTTCTTCTACAGTGTCACCCAAAGCTCTTATGTTACTTACTACATTGTTTACTTTCACAACAAACTCGTCAATCGTCTCTGCTTCTTTCATGCTTAACAGTTCGAACTCCGCCTTTAGGGTTTGGACTCTCGCAGTATTCACCCTATCTGCTCCCATGAACATAGTCTTGAGTGATGTCCATGCCTCCTTAGCCATTTGCTTCTCTGCCAACGACAATAACAAATCTTCCGGTATGCCTTGATAAATGGTCGCCAAGGCCATCTTATCCTTCTTCACTTCGACAACCGTATTAGGGGTGCGGGGGTTCAACAGCGTCCCATACGCCTTGAGCCTGCATGAAAACACGCATCTTTATTGCCAACGCAGCGTAATTGCTTCTTGAGAGCATGGGGTAGTGCAACGTGATGGGTCCGTCTTTCTCATTCCTTTCATTTCTGTCTCCCATGTTGAGTGTACGAGGTTGGTATTTGGGCATACACCAGGTTAGGATTTGATACCAAAATATTGTCTTTTGCACAAAAAGGTATGGTCTTTATTCAAAGGGTAATCATAGAGAACAAGAAGGGCATGTGCAGGTGGGACAAAATCTGCTCACTGCAGAATTGAAAAAGACAGAGTGGGGCAAATTTTCTAATTCTTCATACGAATGCTTGACTGGAAATCGACTACATATAAAAAGGAAAATAAGGAAATGATTCCTAAACTAATGGGGAAACTAACCCACTTCTTGATTACGCCTAAAGAAAAGGAAATATGGCCAACATGGCCTTTTCAAAGTGTCAAGCCACTAAATAAACATAAATTTCCCAATATACCCTCTGGATTAAACCAACATCTACTGATTTAACTTGAGGGCCTGATTTCCAACATTTGGTATCAGAGCCCAGGGTTCATTTAGAAGAATCAGTTTTGAGAGTCGGTGGCAAGAGAGGAGGAGCAGCCCTGGACTGTAGGGCTGAGAACAAAAGAAGAGGACGGTGGGGTGATCTCATGTTAATCACATGAAAATTTGAAGATTGGCTGCTCTAGCACCGAAGGCTGCTAGAAAGAAAAAAATAGAGGATTAAGAAGAAAGGAAGAAAGAAGAAGAAAGGAGAAAGACAGAAAGACAGAAAGAAGAGGCAGGTTGCTTGCTTACCTGAGAAAGATAAGGAAAAAAAACAAGCAACAAGGTGAGTGATCACATTTTTGGTGATCAGAAGAAAGAAGCAGCAAGAAGGAGTAGAAGTATGTTCTATGTTAGAAAGCAAGAATTAAGAAAAGAAAGTAGTCTGTAGCAAGTAGCAGGCAAGAAAGAAAGCAAGAATGAAAGATAAGCAGCAAAGCATATCATGTTTTATTAATCAGAAGAAAGATGCAGCAGCAAAATTTTGTTGTTTGTTAGCAGGTAAGAAAGAAGAAGCAAGCATCAAGTGATTAGCAAGCAAGAGAGGGCCGGTTGAAAGCAAGAAAAGCAAGATAGCAAGCAAGAGGTTTGTAGCAAGTAGCAAACAAGAAGTCTGTAGCAAGTAGCAGCAAAATCATAACAAGTGGGAGTAAAAAAAACATAAGAAAGAAAGCAAGAAAGGAAGAAAGGAAGTAGCAAGATGAAGCAAGCAGAAGGTGAAGCAATCAGTAATGTTGATCACGTTTTGTCAATGAAAGGGGCATGAGACACAAAGAAGTCTGAGCAAGATTAAAGCAAGAGAAGCCAGATCAAGATCATCAAGATTAGGGGGTGAATGTTGGGTAATCTTGATTAACTTGGGTTGTCACGTTTTTAGTTTTTGAATAATATAGAACTGGGTAAAGGCTATCACCGAATTTTAAGAGGTAGTTGGGTAGAAGGGTTCGGCCATTCACCTAGTCTTTAGGAAGAATTAGTATTTTATTGCATGAATATATGAACATAAAGAGTGTTTGTGTTACTTTCTTTCCCATTGTATTTACCCATATTCTTTATCAAACCAAAACACAAACATATTGGTGAGTGTCTACTGGTTTAACTTTAGGGCCTGATTTCCAACATTTTCATCTCTACTCTTTTGGTCAGCGTGAAAGGAGTTGCTTGTTGTATGTAGGTCTTGAACAAAAAGACATGAGGGTTGGTTAAATTTCGATGGTTGTAGGTTAAATGTGGACTCGCATACATGCTTGACTCCTTTAATAAACAAGGTGCACATGGTGTTACTGGGTTGTTTGATTTTTTTAATTGACTAACACTACAACCACAAGAGAATTAACGAGCTATGTTGGGAACACAAAAGTGTCAATCAACTTGTGCATGGGAGATATTTATTGGTTTAAGTCGTTGTCAACAATAATATAGCAAAATAATTTGTTTTTGGGTTTTTCTGTGCAATTCGCTTAAAAGTCAAAAGGTAAAGCAATCATAGAAAAGTAAAGAAAGATGATTTTGACATAAGCTTTCTTACATGTCTGATGTCTCTTTGCTCCTCATGCAAGAATCAAAAGGTGATTTATTGTCGATTGTAAGGTAATTTTCAAAGGAATTTTGTATGTACTTGAAGCTCATGGGTCTCGTCCAAACAAAAGGAAGAAAAAGTGACAAGAGTACAAGACTGAAAATCTCAGAATAACAAAAAATAGAAGGCTGCAAGAAAAGTTAAGGTATAATGGTCTACAACTACAAGATGCATGGTTGTCGTAATCCATGCTGGCATTATCAGTCAAGGGTATTTTTGTTAACTTGGCACTAGGAATGTTTACATGGGTGTTTCTCTTTATTCTCTAAAATCAAGAATTAAAGCAAAAGTGTATACTGGTCACAAGACAATGAGAACGGTTCTTGTTACCAATAATGTTGCAGAGGTATCTGACCTTCTACAGTTTTTCTTACTGTGAAATTTATATGTATAATGAGAAGTCAAGATGTATGGATACAAGTGGGTCTTAATGGTAGTAAAGATATTCTAGGATGCACATGGTAGGAGATTACTTATTCAAACAAGCATATGTGTCCACTTCATCGATGTACTTTGCAAAAGATTATAAAAAGTGAAACATTAGGCTGGTGGGTATGGTGCCACACTTGCCACGGTCAACATCAGCACCACCTAGGATTTGTCATACTCTCTTTAATTTTGCCAATAAATGGTGTTGGTTGCCACACTTGACATGCCATTTTTTTTAAAAGTAATTAATATAAAAACTAAACATTTCAAATATAGTATTTGTTTTTTAAAAATAAAATTTTATTTAACTAGAATAATAATTATGATTTTTAAGTTAAGGATTAATTTTGTAATTTCAGAAACTATTTTTATAGAAAGAGTTTAGGGAGGTATATTTGTTAGTAGACTAAACCCTAGGGACCTTTTATGTCAAATTTTGAAAAACCTTTATCTTCTTCCTGAATTTGGACGAGTTTTTTCCATTTCTTCCATTTTTCATGTTTCTTCCATTTTTTCACTGCAACCCTGTAATAAAAAACTAATCTCTTCTTTCTCTCTATTCTTCCCAAACCTTAGACTCTCTCTCATCGGCACACTTCCACTGTTATGAAATATCAATTAATTTTACATCAATGATAAATTAGAAAGGATGAAAAAGATAATGCAAGACTCGATTTATTAGAACTTTATTTCGTTGACACAAAAGTTATTTGTCTTCTACAACTCCCTACATATACTTGAAATTGTAACTCAGATAGTAACGAGAGTAGCACAGAATGTCTTTGCTTGTGTTATTTTATACGATCTATTAGATTACCCAAATAAGACTAAAAACTACTTGCCAATAATGAGTTTTGCTATTTCTTGGCCTTCAGTAATTGGGAATTGATCACTCAAACGAAAATGAGCCATCAACAACCAAACGATGGTAATGAGCTCCCCACCTTTGCTCACTTGGTCTGCTAGAGTATTGGCTGGTGAATGATTTGCACCATAACATAACATTTCCACCCATACCTTGCTTATAATAAACCATTTACTCATACGCAGGTCTTTCTCCTCTATCTCCATTATAGTTTTGGCCAAACTGCTAGCATCAAAGAGCAATGACTTGCTCTGGTCACCCCTTCCGATCACCGGTGGCATTTCCGGGGATACTTCAAGAATCTTCATGCAAGCATTTATCTGCTCCCAATCCACTACATCCATATTCCAATATCGTTGAGTTTGATTTTGCTCTTGTTTTACTTCACGACCTTTCCCACTATCGAAAAGCATCATGGCCTCAACACAAGTATCTCGGAACCGCATTTTTCCAATACCTACTACTGCTACTGGCATCAAGCTTGGTTGCATGATAAGAAGATACAACATGTAATCTGATAATACTTTTGCAATATGGCGGTGATTATCATTTTTGGCATCTGCGGTTACCGTTTTAAGTTCTTTGTTGTAGCATAACTCGGTGGCGATGTGCCAAAGAATGAGACTTTGATCATAGTCAACATCTATAACATATCTAAGTAAGGCACCCCAACCTTCTTCCACACGGATCACCCAATCGCCACGTGCTGAACTTATCCCCTTGGCAGTTTCCAAGTCATCCGCGAGTTCTGATTTTGCTTTTAGCTCCATGAAGATGAAGTCTCTTAGTTTGTTGGTGAACTTTTGGGATTTTACATACTGGAACCCGTCCATAAAGCCAATAAGCCCCAGCTGATCCAAACATAAATTAACTAAGGCTGGACGTCGGTGTAAACAGTAATCGATTAGGTTGTAAGTTGAAATGGATTCTGACCACCTTCGTCGTATACATTTACAAGTTTGTGGTGCACTTGTTTTTGATTGAGCATGGTATGTTGTGTCCTGAAGGGTGCCCTCAGTCGTGAATCTGAGAAATGAACTGATGATTCGCGTTTTAAGAGACTTGTTGTCCAGCAGAGCATTAGGAGATTTTCGTAAACTAATGATGGTCCAGTTTGAAAACAAAAGCATGAGCAGAGCGATCATATCCAAAACCAAAGCACCAAACAACAAAGTATAAGTAATCGTCACATCAGAGCTTCGAAAATTTGTTTTGTTTTCGAATATAAATAATAAGATTGCTGAACAAATCGTTGCAAAAGATAAAAACCGGCCAATGGCGACGACTCCTGCTGAAGAAAATAGCAACCAATTTTTTGTGAAGAGAACATCATAGATAAAATTTAACTCAGTCTCAACCACTTTGAAAGCGTCTTTTGCGGTCCGATACAGGAAGAAATTCCGACTTTGATTCTGTTGTATCTGAGTAATCAAAATCATATCCACAGCAAGCCCTTTAAATGTTTCAAACAATTGATAAGCATACTGCACGACCTCCATTTCTGACAAATTTCCTCTTTTAGTCCTAGCGGCTCCATAATCTGGCTTGGGAACCATCACAATTCTAGTAGGTAGTTTCGCCTTCTTCATTGAAATATATGCTTCTATGATTTTTGCATCTGCCGGCTCAGGATCAGGACATTTATAAATGTATTCTTTGAATATTTTGGAACTAGCAAGATAAAGAGAACGTGTTCTTTCCGCATATTTGATGACTCCTGTAAAAAACATCAACATTGTTGGAATCCATAGCCGATTTTGTGGTAGCGACTGAAGAAACACATAAACTACAGCTACACACTGGAAAACAAGACCAAGAAGATGACGGGGCCACAACTCATTGTCTTCCATCGCAAAAGCTGTAATAGTGTCCGGACCACCAAGGTGCACCAAAAGAAATGGCGCCCAGAACGCAAGAAGGTCTTGGTTTTGCACAGCTACCCTATCATCTTTTCCGGTCGGGTTGTCATTAGGGTTCCCTTGGCTGCTCAAGATGAGCCCAGCAGCAAAGTTAGCCACACAATCTGCTAGCAAATATGAAGACCACAATAATGTGATTATCATGTTGTTTTTTGTTCGTTTTCTCAAAGGAGCAGCGAGAATCAAAAACATTTGTAAGGAAAGACTCAAGACAATGAACACTCGGATATCCCATGCATGATATAACTGTTTCCATTTTTGAGGAATCGGGTCCAGCATCATTCTCCTCATTTTGCCTTGCTAAATGTTATTGCTTCTTAAAGTTATCTGCACGAGATTGAAAATCGTTACTTCGATTAATGCATGGTTGACACATATAAACCCAAATTTGCACAATGCATTGAACTAATTGCCACAATCATCATTTTATATTTCTTTCAATTTTTTTCTACAATACCTTCGACTCAACAAAAGTTAAATTAATGGAAAATATTTAAATATTTATTTATGAGTTGGAAAATATTTTTTTCCTATTGAAATGTTCAATGGCCAATTCAACGCCAATATGACATCTCATAACAATAGACAATTAAGTTTTCCATTAAACGTTTTCCACCTCATTCAACTCTAAATTCATACGCATCTAAATGCTTTCCATATTTGGAAAATGCCAAGTATCATGAAGATATCAAATTCATGCATCAATGATGCATGTCCTCACAATAGTTAACAATATACCAATGACGATATAGCAAAAAAAAATATTGACGAAAAAATCAGTGATAGACTTTTCAAGTTTCACAAAATTTTGTTTGAATATATAGGTTGGGAATTCTTTTATTTCAAACCTAATTTTTTTTATTAAATTTTTATGACGAAGCTGAAATGGTAAATATATAGTAGATATTTTGACAAATTTGAGACAAAATTGAAACGGCAATTTATTTACCATTGAACTAAAATGGTAACGTACAAAATTTTACAACTAATTTAAGACAAAAATGACAAGATGTTATTCTAAATTTTGCAAAAGATTTCTAGCAGACATTATTAATGACATTGTTTTGAGTTAACTTTGCAAAAGATTTCAATCGAACCATGAGAGCACATTTGCTAAGTACCAAAAGTAATGTTTTTCCTAGGGATGAGCTTTGGAACCGGACCGGTTCGGAACTGGAACCGGTTTTCCTATATTATAAGAACCGGGAACCGGACCGCCGGTTCTAGCGCCGGTTCCGGTTCCGATCCCGGTTTTTCAGTTATTTTTCAAAGTATAACCGGTTGAAATATTATAGATTATATGCTATCTTCTAGAGCTTGTAAATGATTCAATATTTAACTAAATTATGACTTTTTACATTCTAAATTGAAGTACAAACACTAAATTACATGATGAAAAAAGAATCAAGTAATTCCGACTTCATATGAGTGAGTTATGCGCATTTTAAAAGCGGGGACAGATTCCAAAAAAATAAAAAATGTTGAAACAGATAAAACGCAGCATTGATATGTTGTCTTCCGGGGTCTATAACTGATTTAATATATAACCAAAATATGTGTTTTTATAGTCTAAAATGAACTACAAACACCAAATTACATGCTGGAAAAAAAATTAAGTAATTCTGACGTCATATGAAAGAGTTATACACATTTAAAAAATGGGACATATTCAAAAAAACAAAAAAATAATGCTGAAATAAAAAAAACGCGACATCGATATGCTTTCTTTCGGGGCATGTGTCTGATTCAATATCTAACCAAAACATATGTTTGTACCGTCAAAAATGAATTACAAACTCCAAATTACATGGTGGAAAAAAATCAAATAATTTCGACTTCATATGAGCGAGTTATGCGCATTTTAAAAAATGAAAAAAATGTCAAACCGGTTCCGGTTTTTAGAACCGGGACCGGTTTTCATAAAAATGGAGAACCGGTAACCGGACCTATTACCAATTCCGGTTCCGGTTCCGGTCCGGTTCCGGTTCGGTTCCGGCGGTTCTAATGCCCATCCCTAGTTTTCCCCACTATCATGGATTTTGTGACGATGGTTGAAACACAATTCCATATTAAAATCATAACATTACGTTCTAATAATGCTCTTGAGTTAGGTTCCAACACCGTAGAAACGCCTTAACAAAATGGTGTTGTGGAGAGAAAGAACAAACATCTTATTGAAACTTCAAGATCATTGTTATTCCAATCTATGTTGCCTCTCAAGTTTTGTGTTGATCTTATATTAACTACCACCTATCTCTTAAGCATATGTCATAAACAGGATCCCTACTAAATTACTCAAAAATAAGACCACGTTGGAGGTTCTTTTTTGGAACCACACCGTCTCTTGACTATCTAAGGACCTTTGGTTATCTTTGTTATGCTCCTACCCGTAAACAAGAGGAGACAAGTTCATGTCTACAACCTCTAATTGTGTTTTTCTAAGTTATACTCTTGGAAAGAAAGCATACATGTTGTATAATCTTTATATAAGTAGATTGCAAAAATCTAGGGACGTCATGTTCCTTAAACAAAATTTCCCTTCTCTTGATCATTCTCATAGTACCACCATCTTCCCTTCTCCAGAACATATTAACCATTTCTTCAATTAACCTCAAAATCTTCGGTTATATCAACTACCACTCCACTAGTAACCACTTAACATCTCATCATATTTCTCCAAATTCATATATATCATCGCCTACATCATCACCATCCTCTCTATATCTCTTTAAAAACTTCTAAACTTGTTTCTTCGTAATTCTCTATCACTGTGAGAAGGTATTCTAGGCCTCAGGTTCCTCCCACATAACTTACTAATTATGTTTTGGCATAACATCTCTATACAATCTTCTAACTCTTTGTGTCAACCTACTATCATAGCAACTTGTTGTTTTACTTTTCATAGTTGTTTGAGCTCTTTTTCTTTTCCAAATCATCAATTATTGGACAAGCCTAAGCAAATACAAGAATCTAGTTGCTCTGAGGAAGATGTGTCTTAGCCCGTTTTGCAAAATAAATTCAAAATTATGAATCTTTTAAATATTATTTTCGTCACTTTTTTATTACAAATAAATAAAAATAAAAAAATATTGTTTTTTTACATTATATGGAAATGTGTAATAATTATTATAATATTATAATATTATAATATTCTATTAGAATATTACACTATAAATATTTAAATAAAATTGTTAATATATTCTAATATTCTAATACAATTGTTAGAATTGTAACACATAAGCTTCGGTTAAAAATATTTCACGTGTGTCTATATATATATATATATATATATATATATATATATATATATATATATATATATATATATATATATATCTATATATATATATATATATATACGGTGATGTTCAATAGAGAACCATAATTAACCAAAGAACCAAGGAACCAATCTTTTTTTCAATTTTTAGAACTTATTTTTTATCAAAAAAAAAAACTAAAAATACAGAAATTCATAACTTTTTATCATTTTTCCAATGATATCAAATTCAAATTTTTTTTTACGTCAAATTCACAATGTGAATCCGAAAAATAATTTTCACATTAACAATGTTAATATATGAATTTAGATATTTTTAGATTTTTTTTCGATAAAGAATAAGTTCTAAAAATTGAAAAAAAGATTTGGTTCATTGAAAAACCAATAATTATGGTTCTCTATTGAACTTTTTCCATATAATATATATATATATATATATATATATATATATATATATATATATATATATATATATATGTGTGTGTGTGTGTGTGTGTGTAAAGGTAAATTATTATTTATTTTTTCAATTTTTTTGCTAACATGACCAAAATAACATTTAAGAAATTTCTAAATTTAAAGTTATTTTGCAATTTTAGATTTTCTTAATTTATTTTTCGATCTCCAAAATAAATGGCTAAGATTGTATACCAATATCTCGTAAAAAAACTGATTGTCTCAAATTAACCCACACACACACACACACACACACACACACATACACACACACACACACATATATATATATATATATATATATATATATATATATATATATATATATATATATATATATATATATATATAAACGATTTGGCTCACCAAGCCTCGTAAAATCTTGATGTTTTACATTGCAATCAAGTCACGAGTGACGTTATTTAAAATTATGATATATATATATATATATATATATATATATATATATATATATATAATCATATATTATCTATAAATATCATGTGAATGTATGACCAAATGTGGTCCACTCATCTCATAATAGTATTATAGTTATTTAATTATATAAATTAATTATTATAAAAAATAAATCCAATTAATTTTAGAAACTTAATCAAGTTAATACGGAATAATCACTCATTATGACTATACCTCTTTTGTTAATCAAGTTCTATTCATCGTCACTTGGTTAATTGTCAGTTTTTTTTTAATCTAATGATTGTCTTTGCTTTCACTTTCTGCAAGTGTACTAAACTTTTGTTTTTATTATCATAAATAAATAATATAAGTTATAATATATTAAAAATATTAAGTTATTAATAAAATTTTAAACAAAAAGCATAAACGAAAATTTAATATGAGAAATTACGTCTTTAGTAGTATAAAATTTGACAATTATGAAAGTTTTGTACTAAAATATGCATGTATCCTGACTTAGAAAATTTTGTAAAACATAAATAGATGATTTATATTTATTTAAGTTCTTACCTACGGCACTATATCCTAAATAAACTAAATCGTCAACCAAAAATATTGGTGAACACAACTTGATGATTACAAACAACAAATGACCGTAAACATCAGTCACCATTTGATTTAATTACAACAATAAATGAGTGTAAACATAAATTACCATTTGGTTTAACCCAATGCAATCGAAAATAAAACCCAAAATTTTAGATAAGACCAAAATCGGATCAATTTCATACTAAAAACAAAAAAGTATCGGCGTTTTTCTCAATCTTAGTTGATGCGGAATGAATCGAGCAAGTGGTAATAATATATTGTTTGACCCATTATCCGTTTAAATAATATATTGTCTTAAAAAATATTTTACCTCAACCATAGGCGATGCAGAATGAGTCGAACAAGTTTTTTTTTATCTACTGATATTAGTATAAATTTTTCTTATTATTAATTTATTTTTAGAACGAAAAAAACAAATTTTAGTATATTTCGTTGAAAACCGTCTTTAAATCGTCTACTTTTACTTGAAAGAGACTTTTATATGAATGGATAGTATTGTAGTTTACAAGTATAATATATATAGTTCAGTACAAGT